TCATTTATGAGAAATGCCGCCAATGACTCTTCGACCCAGCCATTAGATTGGCCGATCTTGACCAAGGCTATCAATTCATTTACAATGCAACGCATTTTTTCATGCGTAGTTGACTCATAACTTGATGTCTGCCAATAGGGCTTTCATACCACGACTATATTCGTCATAGTTCATAATTACAATAGCCCCGCCTTTGTCCGCGGGTTTAATTATGATCGTATTGTCGTTGTGTAATGCTTCTAGGGCATCACGATCAGACTTTGTCATGTTGGTATATGATCTGGTATGGGATTTATCATGTGTCACATTGACCTTAACAGTCCGAGTGTACGCCTCTATGGTGGAGAATTGGCCCGTAGGGACAAAATTGCTTTTTACCTGAAATGGTAGGCCCCTGCGTAGTGTGGGGGGGAAGCATACCAAAATGTTTGAGTTTCAATGTGCGTTCGTATTTAAACGGGTCAACCTCAAACCCAAATGGGTCAAAGTGTTTAGTAGGGTAAAATGAAAGGCCTTTGGCCAATAGATGGCACCCACCCTCAGACAGCGGACGGGACGATAAATTACCGGATTTTCCTTGGCAGGCGTCCTTTGTTGTAGTGGGACCTGGTTTCTACGCCGCGTCCTCTGGCCGCCCCTCCTGGATCGTCTGCATCGGGTACCCTCCCTAAAGGTAAACTCTGATCACTCTGTGTTGCTGCTGGATTTGCCGGGTGATTTGAGTCACTATCGGTGGATGGATTTTCAGTCAGCCGATCACTACTTGAGGATGCTCCCCTTCTTTGGCGTTGTTGGAATGGCGGTCTCCTTCGAAAGGTTCTTGGGTGCCTTGTAGTGTTCCCTGTGAGCCAAGGGTAGACCCGTCCGTCTTGATAATCAAGATTGACCTGACGAAATTTATCTCGTTTGATTTGTTTCTGTCGATTGTTATAGGTAACGATGTCTTCGTCAATTTTCAGAAGATCCGTTGTGCTCTTCTCTCTATCAGTTTGTTTCTCACAGAGTGTGGATTCAAGAGTTGTCAGTCTCTATTGATATGGCAGAGTTGGACTTTGACTTCCTCTATGACTAAGAGCATGAAATTCAATGAATTTTGCGTGGCGATTGCACACCACTTCTCACAGAATTCCCTTTTCTTCCTTCCAATCGTGGGTTGATTTGTGATCCTGAAACCCCTTGGGATCTTACGGGCTCTATAGTATTCTGAGAGGGTTTGCCCATGTAGTTCTAAGTCGATCTTTCTCTTTTTCAGACGTTTGATTTCTCTGCATAAATTAGTTGCAGTGTCGGTCCCAAACGCTCTGTCCGCATCTGTGGGAAAAAGAATCACTTCTACTTCATCCACGGTAAATGGATGCACACTGGATTGTTGAGTTCCTGGATTGGTATTACCCGCTAGATCCATGGGCAATGGAAAAAATGCAAAATAATGCACAAACGTGGGTCTGAGCATGAATGTCCAAAAGTAGATGCAGGTGCTCAAAAGGCACAGTGTAGATAGGATAACCAGGGGTGCATAGCAAGAATTGCCAAACAGATTCAGAAATCAAGAGTTCTTGCTGCACTCCTTACCGGAGTCAAAAAAAGGACCCATGTGGACGTTGGTGGGTGCTTGTAGTGGTCACGGATGGCCCCGTGAAGAGATACGATAGAAAATAACGCCACCAGCACTCCAAGGGTTAATGAAGCAATAGTTGATTTATTAGCACATTGCCATTCAACTGCAAGCGCTTTCGGGGCCGCAGAGTGTCCCCTTCATCAGGCCCATCACCTATGGAGGTTAATCTCAAATATGGCTAAACTCTGATGAATTGCAACAATAGTCATCTGGAGGGGTTTAAAACAGTAAGAATGATGAGGATACATAAAGTGAATAGACCAAATGGGATGGTGAAACTGTATACAAGGATAAGGGAAGTGGGGGGGGAATATTTGCAAAAAAAACAAACATTTCAATAAAATGCATACTGCTACTGACAGTTTGTGCAGCTCAGACCTGTAACTAGAAAAGCATTGTTAGTTAAAACAAAAAAGGTGCCGGAATAAAAGGAGAATGGGGACAGAGAGCAGGAGAGAAGAACCAGCAGGATAATTTGATAATGAGAGAAGGGTGAAGTCGTTATCCTTTATGGTAGTGCTGGGTCCATATGTGGCACTTTCAGTGTTCAGGACAGGCAATTGCACAAAATCTGCAGTTATGAGTTCTTATTTTACTCCCTACATCTGTAAAAGATCTGGTGGGGAAAATAAACTGTCACTCAACATTGAAATTGTCCCTTTTATTTTTATTTTTTTATAATTGACAATTTGTATTGAGGTTTTATGCAAAGAAAGAAGACATCTATATTTGACACAATATTGGTTGACCGTCCATGGAAAAAAATAAAAGATTCCATATACAATTGGCATGTAACTTCCATATAAACTAAAAGTTCACAGTTTACATCGTTTCTTTCCCGTGTTACTAGATTAAGCCAATACACAATGTAAAGTTTGATGTCTTCAGTAGCAGTTGACCATCTATGGAATTTTATAACCTTCAAACGTCTATCTATCTTGATATGTCTTAACTATATATAAAAAAGAGAGGAAGAAAGTGAAAAGAAAGTAAAGGGAGGAAAGAAGGTTGTAAAAGACTTTCTTCCATGGTAGCCTTCCCAATGGGTGGTTTGGTCAACCTATATCACTGTATTTTTGCTTTGCTATCGTCCAAGCTACGACCCTTAGTGGTAAAATAATATAGTAGTTTCGGTAGTAGTCATTTCAACTGAAGATAATCTACCTGTAAATGATAATTTCAAAGCTTTCCATCTACGTTATTGAAACCTCAAGGACTGAAACAGTAGTTTATAGTTGGCTGCATACAGAGAGGAAGTATTATTCGTAACATAGACCCCTAGATATTTCAGTCGGTCACTTTTCCAGCTATAGGGGAATGAGGCCTGTAGTGAGACTAGAGTAGTAGGGGATACATTTAATGGAAGCACCTCTTGTTTTACCTAAGTTCAATTTGTAGCCAGAAACCATTGAATACCTATGGAGTTCCTCTTGTAAATTTGGCAATGACAATAGTGGTTTTGTTAGAGATAGGATGACATCGTCCGCAAATAGAGCTGGCTTAAATTGTTGTGATCGGATCGGGATCCCTGAGATATCTGGTGATTTGCGAATATTTGCAGCAAGGGACTCAATACACAAAGCATACAAGAGAGGGGACAGAGGACACCCATGTCTGATGCCATTGCGTATCTAGAAGGGTGTGGAGGTTGCCGTGCGTAATTTGATGGAAGCCGAAGGGGTAGAGTATAGAGCTTTGACCGCTGGGGCAAAGGGGCCCCTTATCCCTATGCGTGTCAGGGTTGCATGTAAAAACGGCCAACTGAGCCTATCGAAGGCCTTTTCTGCATCCAGACTTATTAAAAGAGCTTCCATTTTCTCCTTATGTACAATATCTATGAGGTCTACCAGTCTGCGGGTATTTTCACCCGCCTGACGATTAAGAACAAAGCCCACTTGGTCATTATGTATGAGTACCGGTAAGAGCTTAGCTAGACGATTCGCTAGTGTTTTGGTAAAAATCTTGAAGTCGGAGTTAAGCAGGGCAATAAGTCTATAGTTGGTACATAATTTACTGTCTTTGTCGGGTTTGGGGAACACAGTTATATGAGATGATGGGTCTGTAGCCCCATGTAGAAAATCATTATATAGGTCAGTCATATAGGGGAGGAGGGCGTCTACGTAAGTCTTATAGTAAGAGTAAAGGTGCCCATACACCTTACGACCATCGCAAGACTTTTGTCTTGGTCGTAAGCTTATTAAAAGCTCGTACGATCTGCCCATCTTGGACAGGCAGATCGTACTTGCGATCATCGAAAGCCCGCCCCGCTTAGGGGCAGGCTTCCGATGACCGCAGTGAGTGGCGGGCTTCCGATCACGGCAAACGGGCAGTGTGCGCGTGCGCACACCGGCCCGTTCGGCAGTTGTCGAACAAACAGGCCACTAACCCGCCGAGAATCGTACAATTCTCGGCGGGTTTTCAAGCCTGCTTGTTCGGCGCAAGACGTGCGACCGTACCGTAGAAACGGTTGCACGCCTTCCATACACTGTAAGATTATCGTACGATCGCGGGATTTCCCGCAATTCTCGTGTGAGAATCGTACAGTGTATGGGCACCTTAAGGAAAACTCAGGGCCCGGTGACTTACCCACAGGAAGAGCTCTGATAACCTCCCGCACTTCCACCTGAGTTATGTCTGCGTTCAATACCATGAGATGCTTCGCCTGTGATTTCTGGTAAGTCACATCCTTCCAAGTAAGTCTGAATACGAGACATCAGTTGTCCGTCTGAAGGCGTAAACACAGGGTCAGACAAGTTATAAAGTTCGTCATAGTATTCCCTGAAAACTTTCAACTTCTGGATGATGTTGTAGGGTGCCTCTAGTGTCCCGAATTGCTGTCAACCCCCTGCCACTAGCCTCTTCTTGCAACTTACGGGCCAGTAAGGTATGTGCCTTGTCCCCTCTCTCATAATATTGTAGTTTTAAGATATGTCATAGACATTTCAACCTTATGGATCAACAGATGACTAAATTGTCCCTAAAAAGCGTGTTCAAATAATTTGACACCATTAAACATTACATCTCCTACATCTGTAACTAGGAAATGCAGGCGCAACATGCTGTCTATCCATTTTTTGTGTGATCATGCCAGATTTTTCCACAATGTTTAGTCTTGTAAAAGTGGGGGCAAATTGTGAGGCCCTAAACTCTAGCAAGTTCACAGCGTTCTAATTCAGCCATTGATTTCAGAATAAATATGTACAATTTTTTGGCAAAAGTTCCCTTTCTTAACAGTCTTGTATGCAATTAATTGATTGTACAAATGATTTCTAGTTTTAGTAAATGTGTGTAAGAAAGTATGTTGTAAAGAGGACATGTGTATATTTTTTATTATTGAATCGAAAAAATTCAAGTAGCTTATGCCTCTTTTATTTTGCGGTAGGCAATCATGGCTCAACTTCCACAAGAACAAAAAGCTAAAATTGCAGAACAGGTTGCTAGCTTTCAAGAAGAAAAGAGTAAACTGGATGCTGAAGTATCAAAATGGGATGACAGTGGAAATGATATCATTGTTCTGGCTAAGCAGATGTGCATGATAATGATGGAGATGACAGACTTTACTAGGTATGCTGTGAGGATCAATATTTTAGAGCTCGAATTTTGTTAATACAGAATTCAATTTATACATACAAGCTAAAATATGGTTAATTTTTGTTACAGAGGAAAAGGACCACTTAAAAATACATCCGATGTGATTAGCGCGGCTAAGAAGATTGCAGAAGCTGGATCACGAATGGACAAATTAGGACGTACTATAGCTGACCATGTAAGTACATTCCAGTGCAAAGTGTTACAGTACTTTATATATCAGGTACAGCTTCTCATTCAATTTCTTATGGTATTTCACTTAATTGATATGATTTAAGTAAAATATGATGTTTTGGTAAAGTTTTTTTTTTTTAATTATGGATTCAACATCATTTAAGTATTATGCAGACAAAAACCCGGAGTCTTTCTAGAAGTTTTAAATGATTTGGATTGAGTGGGTAATGGTTAAAACGCCTCTGTGTCCTATTGGGGAGATTTCTCTTTACTTCATGTTCCAGAGAGACAATTGCAGGGGGAAAAAAGGAAATCTTTACAAAGTGAGAGGAAATATCTTCTCGGCTATCGGTGTAAAATGTGTCCTCATTGGAAGATTTATCCTCTCCTATTCCTTTTACAACTCAAAATTTTGGCTAGCCCATCAGTTCCTGTTGGGGCAACAGTCACCAGTGCAAAAATGAATTTCCCCAGCATTGAGCCAGAGATTGCAATAAAAACCTGACAGACATTTTAAGCCCCTTCACTTTAATCAGTACTTTGGCTTTACCGACACTTTGGGGTCTAATGTTTTTACACAAGATTCACTTATCTTTTACCCAGGAGTCAAAGAGTTCGCTGTCCACCTATTTACTACAAGGTGGGGAAGATTGAAAATTTTGTGGAAATCGAAATCATCAAGGCTTGATGAAGGCAGTGGTATTGATTGGATACAAGATACTGCTCCTTCTTTCTCCACAGAGGGCATCCACTCTTAAAGTAGTACTTGGGCTCATTGCCAGATACTGGGTCAGTCTGTCCCATTCTGGACATTAGGGCTCTGACCATGCTCCACATCTTAACCTTTGCATCAACAGTTTCAGTACCTTGTGCACGGACTAGCACGTCTAGTTTATGGTGTTGGCTTTCAGTTTGGCTACAGCTTCCAGAGTTTTTACCAAACTTCTGGTCACATTTCTGATGGAACGCAGAATTAGGAGCATAATAATTATTGCTTACTATGTCCATCCAGTTATCCAAGCCCCATTGGCACTAGATCTACAACATAGCCAGATTGTGCTGCATTACCTGCAGTGTTTCAGGCAGCTGTTACCTTACCAGAAATCATCCTTGGTTCCAGCACAATGTCTAGAGTTGGGCCTGATGTGGATATCTTTCTGCTGCTGTAAAAAAAAAAACCTGAAACTGATCATACTACAGACCTAGTCCATCCGGGTGCAGTGCAGATCAAGACTTGCAGGTGCATTTGAGCCTTGGTTCTAATGGTATCAGCGTTCAAGGTGGTTAATTTTTTTCCTTAATTCCCCACTAGAGCTCTGCATACAAACTATCAAGGTGGGATATTTGGAGTGGCATTTGGAGAAACTGAAGTTACTAATGTAAAAAATTCAGGATGTAGAGTAGCTTAACTCTGTCTCTGGACAGGAAGATCAGTCTCCTATTTGTATTGGTATTTCTGCTGTATTCGCTTTGGTTACAAATTGTGTCACAGGGCCACTCCTTTTCTGCTTCTTGGCTGGAAAATCCTCACCAGAGATGCAACCCCCAGGCTGTAAAGGGGTGGTAGGCACAGGAGTTGCCCAAGCTACCAATCAACTAAAAATTGGATGCTTTGTGCTTCTGCTCAGCCAGAACTTCTGTCTCAATGGCCAATATTCTGTCTGCCCTGGGTTTGTATGAAGCGATCATCTTTACTATGCTACGAGCTTTTAAGCCTGCTCGCCTGGAATATCACTTTGTATATAACCTCACCTGGAAGGCTAGTTTTCCATGGTGTAAGGCCCTTCATTTAAACCCTAGGATGTTTTTGGTCACTGATTCTGTTTCCTCTAGTTTGGCATGAATAAGATTCTGGCACCAAGTACCATAATTAACCATTTCTATGCTCTGACAATTTTTGTTTCAGCGACCCTTGGCTTTTCATTCCTTGGTTTGCATTTTGCTGCTCAAACTACTCTGCACGTAGATGAAAGCCTTTCCTTCAAGGGACATAACACATTTATACGATTCTGCACAGAGGTGACTGCCAGATGTTTAGAGAGTTGCTACAGCCCAGCACATCTCAGTTCTATGGTTTTTCTCTGCCTGTGGTTTGTACCCTGCTTTTGCAGAGGACAGGTTTAGTGCTCCCAGGGCACTCAGCCATGGTGTTTTCTCCTTAAGGGGACCCCATTTGCCTCTATTGTGCAGCTACTGTTTCTCCACAGCTTAATATTTTCCCTGCATGCACTATTTTTAAGTTTATGTATTACAACACTTGGGCTGAATCTCTCTGCAGCAACTGCAGGTCCTCCTCTGTGCAGCATACCTCTGTTTCTACCTCATTATTTTCTTTGGAGCCTTTGGGTGCATGTGCTGTTGAATTTTCTCTACTACAATTTGTCCATCAAGCATCTGATTGCTAAGGTATTCTGGTAGTTTTAGGAAGCACTTCTGCCTCTCAGGAGGACAATTCTGAATGAGTACTCCCCAGACCTGTCTACTAAATACGATTTTGCTGCTATATCATTCTCTGAATGATGGGTAACTGTTAGATCCTTCTTTCACATTCCAGATAAAGGTCATGGTGTTCCTCTTTCAAGTGGTTGAGACACTCAAACTGGATGATACAGCCTCCCCTACCTCAAGAGAGGACAGTATTGCTAGGTTCCCAAATACCCAAGCATTCTGCCAAGATATTTTTCTAATTCATTCTCATTTTGAGTACTTGCTGTTTAATGGAAATGGGTTTTCCTATTCACAGGAGTATTTACATTTTTTATACTTTTTATGAGGAATATTAAACAATTGGGCTATTCCACCCTCTGTTTACCTGCAGAATCCCTGCTGCCTTTCAATCTGCTGAAACCTTGATCCATTTGGTTGTCCCTCCTGCATTGAATGCGACTTCTGGAAGGCAATCCAATAAGAGGCCAGCTTGAAAATGCTATGGCTGTGGCATATGGAAACTGTGTGACACAACATTTCTTGCTGCAAGTGGAGAATATCCTTTGTTGGGTGGAAAGTCTTGTTCCATCTTTGACAGTCCACATTCCAGGAGTGGAGAATTGGAAAGAGCATTTCTGTCGTCGGCACCTGGATCCAGGAGTGTGGTCCCTCAACTTGGGGAGGTTCCAGCAGATTTTTCTGGGGGATGGAGACCTGAACCAGATGACTTCCCATCTGAAATACAGTTTATACAAGTTTGTTGCAAGATCCAGAGCTTTTACCTGACATACAGACAGTGCTTGTCCAATGCAGAGGTTTAATCTGGAAGGCAGTTATCATTTTGATCCATTTGGGCCACAAAGGGCGTAGTATTTACATAGTGTGACAGGTCAAAGGCGTTCCTTGGCAGCTTACTGTTTGACCAGACCTTCGCAAAGGCCGATTCCTCATCTGTCGTCTTGTTTGCTGGCTTTAATGGCATGGTTACTGAAGCTCAGGTGTTGAAGGGGGGGGAAAGAGACTCTCTCCCACAGGCAGTGATTGCCATAATGCCCACAAACCTTCCTCTTGTAAGGCAGGGCTGAACAAATCCCAGGAGCCAGATAGCCAGCGCTCCTTAAAAGTTCCATCTGGTGCCTAACTTTTGGGGTTTTTACTCCATGGTTGTCATACTGCTGGCTCCTGTATTGGACAGGCTGGCTGGTGAATTCCAAATGAATATGTCCCCATATGTTGTAAGGTTTTACTGTCTGTCTGGAAGGTCATACCAGTCTCTGGACATCAGCCCCTGTTGTTCAGTCAGTTGTGGGTTTTTTTGCTTATTTTTTTGTTTTGGCGAATCATTCCTTGCTGTGCACTTACATCCACGGGGTCACTCGCATCTCTTTTCCTGTGAGGCTGTGTTGCTAATAAAACAAAAGATCAGTTCCTTCGCACATGGTAGGGTGTTGGGTGTAATCCTGGACTCTGACCTCTCCTTCAGGCCCCACATCCAATCACTGAAATGATCTTGCTACTTTAATCTTCGTAACATTTCCACAATCTGTCCCTTCTTAACAAAAGATACCACAAAGCTACTAACTCACTCTCTCTCGCCGTGACTACTAACTCCCTTCTCATTGGCCTACCTCTACACATGCTATCACCTTTCAAAATATCATGACTGCTGCTGCCAGACTCCTCCACCTTTCCAACCGCACAATGCATACAATTCAAAATGCTAACCTCTTACAAAGCCATCCACAACTTCTCCCGCTGACTACATCTCCAACCTCATCTCAAAATCTCACCCAAACTGTCCTCTGCTCCTCCCAAGACCTCCTGCTCTGTAGCTCACTCATTACCTCCAGGACCTCCCATGCTGGCCTCCAGGAATTCTGCAGAGCCTCTCCCATTCTCTAGAACTCCCTACCACAACCTATCCTGCTATCTCCTACTCTGTCTGCCATTAGGCGATCCCTGAAAACGTACCTCTTTGGTAAAGGCCTATTACACCTCTTAAAAACGGAACATCTATTCCTTCAATCAGCTCATCCCTCAGTTATTACCTTCTGTATCACTTGCACCTCCTTGTAGATTGTAAATTCTCACAAGCAGGGTCCTTCTAATCCTTGTGTATGGTATTATTATCATTATACAGGATTTATATAGTGACAACAGTTTGAGCAGCGCTTTACAATATAAGGAAGAAATTGGTTGCAATACAATTCAAGACAAGATTACAAGATGGTTAATAGGCCCTGCCGTGAAAGCTTACAATCTAAAAATGTTAATTGTTCGGTCTCCCCATATGTCGTAAAGCTCTGTGCAAACTGTTGGCACTATATATATCCTGTATAAAAATTATTAACTGTTACACCCTTTTGACATTTTACTTTAGTAAAAATAAAATATGTATACACCTTTTGTGTAAATGCCTATACATTCAAAATTGCTGTGCAACCTGAGACAAAATATTTTATGTTTCAGTTATGCAGAAGCCCCTTTTTAAACTTATTAGTCAGTTTCTAGAGAGTGGTAAATGTCTAGGCTTTTTGTCATCCGCCCCAGTTTACCATTAGGCCACTTGCTTCTCTGTCCACACCTTTACTAAATTCTGCAAGCTTTGGACCCAAGGTCCTGTGGGCAGCTGTGTATTTATGTTCTTGGGCTGCCCCCTGTTTTATGTTTGGTTCCCTTGCTTGGTACAACTAAGCTCTCCTAAATGTGCAGGGGTATGGCCACAGAGTGCTTAAGGTCCAAAATGCCTGAAGGCAGTAGAAGAATATTACAGCACTGTAAAGAATATTACAACACTTTATCCTCCAATAAACTACTGGAAAAATTAGATTTTCTCTGAAGGACACGTGAATCCTTTATTTGTCTGTTGAATCTTTGAAACTACTCAAACTGCCCCCTTTTTCTAGAAAAATCATAAATAGCCCCTCAATTTGGGAAAGTACGGTGTACAAAAATACTTATCCACACAAAACAAAATTTACCTTGATGTATTTTTCTTTATTCATGTCAGTTTTTAGAATAATGTTGATTCTTTTATTTTAGTGTCCAGATTCTACCTGTAAACAAGATCTTTTGGCATACCTCCAGCGCATTGCTCTTTACTGCCACCAGCTTAATATTTGTAGCAAGGTCAAGGCTGAAGTTCAGAATCTTGGAGGAGAGCTGGTAGTCTCGGGAGTAAGTATCAGATAAGTGTGTTTGTGTAGGTCTATGTATGTATGTGTGTATACAGGTGAAACCTGAATAATTAGAATATCGTGCAAAAGTAATTGCAGTAAGTGCTGCAAAAGGGGCCCAAACCAAGTACTGAGTACATATGCATGCTTGTACTTTTCAGAGGTCCGATATTGTTCTATGTACAATCCTTGTTTTATTGATTGCATGTAATAATCTACTTTTTTGAGGTTGTGGATTTGGGGTTCTTGGGGTTTTCATGAGCTGTAAGCCATAATCATCACAATTATGACAAATCACGGCTTGAATTATCTTGCTTTGCATATAATGAGTCTATCTCATATATTAGTTTCACCTTTTAAGTTGCATTAGTGAAATAAATGAACTTTGCACGATATTTTAATTATTCGAGTTTCACCTGTAGATACATTAAGCCAGATTGCGTTTCAGTCCGTAGATCCCAACTTAGCCTCCAACTTTAACATGTATGGGTGTCTCGCAGGTGCTGGTGTACAAGTTAAATCTCTATATAAGGAGAAGATTAATTCTGTGGACTTGGGTGTGACCCGCGAAGCAATAAACTAATTTGAAAATACCCAAACAACTCAGAGGAGAGTGTTTTCCATGTTTTCTGGGAGATATAAAAAAAATGTAATCCCCTGGGTAGTAAGCAGTTGATGCTTATATCAGACCTTTAAAGGCCCAATACAGGAAGGCAGCCAGGTTCTCAAAAGCCGGTGGAAATAAAGGACACTGCAATAAACCCAGGAAAGGAAGCTGAAGGGAAATCAAATTCTTAAGAGAATTTCACCACATCCCATTTCTTGAGAGTGCATCAAGGTTGGGTCCAAGAGCTTTGGACGGAGAGTCGGAGGAAGTCAAGCCAAATTGTAAAAAGGAAGAGGAATTATCGAGATGACCCCATAATTATATATTCTCAGTGTCATGAAGGTTAGCCAGCAGGGTGATTTGTGACGCAAAATAATACTTGTGTACATACTGGGCACTCCTAGTCCCCCAGGCTTTTTGCCCATATAATATGCTAGTATACTCATAGTAATTTCCTGTTTTCAATACATAAGATATGTCTAGGGATGGGGAACCGGAAGAACCCACAAGTAGTAAAGCAATTAGGTCCTCTTAATAACGTGGATTCTGCTAGCCATAATCATCACAATTATGACATCACGGCTTGAATTATTTTGCTTTGCATTTAATGAGTCTTTCTCATATTTTAGTTTTACCTTTTAAGTTGCATTAGTGAAATAAATGAACTTTGCACGATATTCTAATTATTCGAGTTTCAACTTTATATGTGGAGGAGGGTGCAAAGAAAATATATAGATATAGATAATAATGTAAGTAATGTAGCATGATGATATTAATTAAGTTACCACTAGTTCTAAAAAAGGAACCTATTAAAGATCTATTTATTTTTTGTTTGTATTTTGTGGCCTCATTATCGTTGTTCATGACTAAAATGAAGATTAAGTTGAGTGGGCAGCAATTCCTTTATTTGCCTGTGTGCGCACACCCAGCACATGCACAAGCCACTGCTCCCTCTATCATTATATAAGAGAGAAAATCAGCTATAGGCACAGAGCTAATCGGACTGACTGTGTGCCTTGTTTGTGTATGGCCTGTGCATTTAATGTATCTACAGCACCATTACCATGCGTTGCTGGCATATTAACTTCCAACAAACTGGGAAAGAAATCAGATTACCTTGGGATGTCTACTTTGCAAAAAGGGGTAAATTGGGGTTTTTTGTACTGTCCTTGCATTTTTATTTGCTATTTTTATAAACAGAACATAAGGGAAACCGTTTGGGGGTGTACATTTTCGGGCCTTTTAAATATTATAAAAATAAAAAAAGTTATTAAATACCACCAAAAGAAAGCTGTATCGGTCTCAAATAACAAAAGATTAAAAAATAATTTAGGTACAGTGTTGCATGACTATTTCTCATATTGTCACATCACTGGAAAAATGGCCTGGTAATGAAGGGGGTTTAACATGCTGGTCTTCTAATGCTTAAAGAACAAAACAAACTTTTTTTTGAGGGAGGGGGTTACATTTCAGAAGACACAGAATAGGAGTGAGTAAAAGGGAGAAAATTGGTTATTAAGAATTGCACTGGCATATAACCTTAACACAGTAATTTCTTGATCAGAGACACTGGGTAATATGCAGGTGATTGGACACTGGTCATAACTGTGACATTATATAAATCTTCCCCACTCCAGGAAATCCTCTGTTTTTTGTTCGTGTACTTAGTTGATGGATGTCTCCTCTCTAGTGAAAGAAGTTATAATGTTGACCTAATTTTTTTTGGCTGAAATCTTCAATCAAAATCTTGTCTGGGACCAGATGCAACTTATCTGCTTCTACATCGCTGCCCCGTGGCAGCAGCTTCAGGGGCTGTGGCTGGACCCCACTGGACTGAAGAAGTGGACCGGCCTGTAATAACGTTTCAGGCATTGAATCCTGTGTTCGCCGCCCACCTTGGCACATGGTGCAGCATGTTGGATTAGCCAAAAGGTGCTATACAGGTCCAGAGCAGTGGCGTATCCACACTAGTGTGACCCTGTCCCTGAAGACCCCTTTGGTGGTAAGCTCATCTGTAGTGAGTGTAGCCAAGGGTCAGTGGAATCTCCCCTTTTCTTTTTGGAGGTTCAGAAATGCATATGCTCCTATAAGCAGAGACTCACCTGGGACTTTTCTGTACAGATGCCTGAAGTAATGGTCGAAGGAATTGGAGTGCAGAAAACGCTTGAAGAGAATTCTTCTTGTTGGAGAACGTCTCTATGGAAGGCGTTGGATGCCTTTATTAAAAAGCTAATGGGAAAATAATCTACCTTCTGACACAAGACCTGAAGTTAAAGTCCAAGCTCTTTGCAATTAGAAGTTGCCTCTCTAACTCTGCCATCCCGACTCTCTCTGAGCAAGAGTTTCTCACTGGAAATTCCCATCACGAGTGAGGAGGTTGAATTAGCGCTCAAGTCTATGAAAACGGGCAAAGCTCCTGGCCCAGACGGGTACACCATAGCCTATTATAAGCAATTTAAAGAGCTCTTAATAGATGCATTAGCTCCGTTTTAGATGGCACTGAGATCCCTACAGACTTCCTGCGACCACGTTTTACTGTTGTCCCTAAGGAAAGCAAAGACCCCCCTGAGTTGCGCAAGCTATCGTCCTTTATCGTTGCTGAATACAGATTTGAAAGTTTTTTACTAGAATTCTGGGCAGTTTGTTGCTTCTGATTTATCAGAAAGTAATCGGCCTTGAACAGGTATTGTTTGTACCTCTGTGAGAAGGTAGGGACAATACCATCAGAACGCTCTCTGCTATATTTTTTGCTCCTCCTCTACTTCTGTCCACCGATGCAGCAAAAGCATTCGACCGCGTGACCTGGGACTTTATTCAGGAAACGTTAAGATACATCGGCCTAGGTCACAATAAGCAGAAATGGAACAAGGCTATATATTGCAAACCTACCGCGGTCGTACGTGTCAATGAAGCCCTTTCTAATCCTTTTCCCATTTCTAATGGGACTAGACAGGGATGCCCCCTTTCGCTCCTAATCTTTATGCTCTCTCTCGAACCTCTAATCCGTACAATTCAAGCTTCTCATGATACTAAGGGGTTGGAGACTTCTGCGGCCCATCATAAAACAGCAGCTTACACCGACAACCTCTTATTCTATATTATCAAAACGGAAATCTCTACCAAATTTGATGGCCGAATTGTGCAAGTATGGGGAGCCTACCAATTATAAAATTAATTTCTCTAAATCTGAAGCCTTAAATTTCTCTCTCTCGGATCCAATCTAACTTGGACTACCTCTTATATCAAATATTTAGGTGGGCTGATTCCCAATGACCTCAAAAACAATTTTACCCTCAATTTTCTTCCCCTGAAAAAAGCACTCCAAACAGATGACAGTTAATTGGAATCATACAGTTTTTACCTGGTTCGGATGTAATAGCCTTCTAAAAAGGACAATCCTTCCCAAGTTTATATTTGTCGGCAGTTCCCTCTGCCCATCTTGCACAGATGCAATCGATCTTTTCTGTGGGCCAACAAAAGGGCTCGGATCAGAATTAAGATTTTGACTTCAGGAGGAATAGGCTTTCCCGACCCGATGCTATACTAAAAGGCTGCACATCTTGTGAGATTGGTGCTGTAATGCAGATAGTAAGTTGTGGGTGTGCTTGGAACAAGCTACGGGTGATCTACCCCTCTATGGTATTCCATGGTTATTCCCTAAGGTGCCGTTACAGCCTTGAGCTAAGCATAAGAGCCATTATTTTATTTTTTTCAATTTTTTTTTATTATTTTAATAATACAATACATAGAACACACATATACACCCATAATTACATATTAAAACAGCAATACAAAACAGATGACAATACATACAGACCCACAAGGAAAGAAAGAAAAAAAAAAAAAAAACACCTCTCCTTATAAAATTAATTTTCCTCTCAACATACCATATTTCTTAAGCCACATTACTCCTCAGAGTACCAATAATAAATAGGAGAGATATTATACCCAGGGTCAATCCACTTATCTCACATTTTACCATATTTGTCCATCGTACCTCTGTGCTTGAACATAATTCCCTCAAATCTAACAACTTTATCTAGTTCTTTCTTCCACTCCTCTACTGTGGGAGGCGCTGCTGAAATCCACCTAAGGGCTATACTACGCCGAGCTACAAATAGAGCCCTCGTTATTGCCACCTATGTGTAATATTACACCTTTATGGGTCCAAAAATACCCAGGATACATAACAAGGGATTTTTAGAAATATGGACTCCAAAGGGTATATTTAGTATGTGCACTATTTCCGTCCAATATCGTTTCAGCTTCGGGCATCGCCACAGCAGATGTATTAACGAACCAGGTTCAACCCCACACTTTGGACATTTAGAATTGTCCCTGAATCCTATCCTATGTAGGAATTCAGGGGTCTGATATGTTCTATGTACAATATA